TCAAAACCGCCCTCGCACGGCCACGGGCCCCCTTCTCTTCCAGCGACTTAACCGACCTCTCGGTACTCAAGTATTTGCAGCACGTTATTTGCAGCTTGAGCACTTGCAATACGCTTTCGGTTCCTTCGGCGCTATAGAACTCTTTCGGCAATCAAACAAAGACTCAGCTTTTTGGAAGATCGAAATCCCACCCTCCAGCATGCTCCTCACAGCTCCCTCGATCAGCAAGCTCATCAATCTACCCGTTGTGGTGCAATCAATTTGGATTGCTGGGTGCTCCTTCTCTTTAGCTAAGCCTTGAACAAAGAAACGAGTTCTTTTCGAAAGAACAAGGGTTTAAAAGGGTTTGATTCAGACGAAAAGGAGGATATTTTGGCGGATTTGGACGCTTCTAGAAGCTACGATCGGTAGTTTCGGCGTATTTTTTGGTTTTTTTTCAGCAATTCCACCCGTGAACCATGGTTCACGACTGAATTTTTTTATTTTTTCCTTCCTCTGTCAGGTACTTTTGAGAGAGCTGGGACCGCTCTCTAAAGGGGTAGTGTGACAGCCTGCCTTGTTACCTGCAATCAGCTGATCACCCATTCAGGCCTAGCGCTTGTGGCCATGTATATAGACCTTCCTGAGCTCTCCTGAGCTTCCTGTTTTCCTCTCCTCACTTTGTATTCTAAGGTCAGAATTCATCAGTTCGTCACAGTTAATATAAAATATATAAAAAAGAGCTGCTAATGATAGTCGAATTCTGCCGCAAATACAGCTATATGTTAAAATGCGATAAAGCAAGCATAGTGTTCACCGATTATAAACTATTAACACATTTCTTAAACTTTAAGTCAGTATAAAAAAAGATTTACGCAAGATAAGCTTACGAGCTAAAGAACTTTAATATAACGATACAATACATCGAAAGCTATAAAAACCAAGTTGCTAACGCTTTATTTAAAACGATCTTTTTAAAAGATGATTATCGAAGTTTAGAATTCGAAAGGTTCGAAACGATCTCGAAGATAAACAAAAATAAAGTTTAGATTTAAAAAGACGAGAAAAAAAAGTATAAATAGCTATTAAAAGAAGTAAAGAACTTATTAAAAGACTTAAAACTAAAAAAGGTTAACGCAATAAGATATATGCTAAAACTTAAGTTTACTTTACAACTATCCGGAAAAGCTTAAAGAAACGTCAAGTTCGTATCAGCTCTTTATCGAGCAAAAAGACCGAGATACGTTATTAAGTTAAAACCGATGTCAAAAAGAAGGATCTCGATATCAAATCACTTGCAATCGATGCTTACTTAAATTAATATTATGCTTATCTATTTTTTAAAAATACTAAACATAATTTTTTCTCGAGAAAAAGCTTATCGATAATGCTTTTAGTACACAAATATCTTTAACTTAATTGCTTACGGCATCTTTTTTATAGACTCGGATAAAGTCAAGCAAAAAAGACTATAAACGAAAGCGAGTTCTTATAAGTAAGAAAAAGAAACATTATAATACTATTAAAAAAAAGTATAAAGAACATGTCTAACGCTTAAAGATATTAAAAAAGCGCTTCGGACGGCTTATAACCAAAGAGGTCACTTCGCTATCACTATTACTATAAAGAAGTTGAGAAACGTATAATAGCTTATTATAATTAAAGACGTATACTTATATATCTTAAAATGCTTAAACTACGCGAAGCACGGCACCGCTATAAGATCTTAACTATTATCTAGCGTAGTAGTCTCGAGACCGATAGAACTTCTTAAAATAGACTTTTGCGGATTTTTCTTAAGAGTATTAAAAACATTTCGGTTCCTTTTAATCATTATAAACTACTTTTCGAGATTTATCTAAGCGTTCTCTTGTATCGCACCCGATTTAAAAAACGTTATACGCTATCTTATAAAACTATTCGACTAAAATAAAACACTAATCGGATTTTATATCGACTTTAATAGCTATTTTAGCGACACAGTCCGGAATTTTATAAGTAAAAGAAGGGTCTTATAAACTAATTCTTTATCAGTATCAAAGAAATCAATAAGCATAGCGGAGAAAGCGGTCGATATAATGCAAAAAGCGATAGCGAAGACTAAAAGAGCATTCGAAAACAAGTTTAAAAAAGTAATATTCGAAACGAACGCGAAAGAGATCTTTCACTTAAAGTACTTATTATTTAAGATCTATCGAAGACATACCTTTAAAGCAGCAATAGACCTAGCTTTTTTAACGTATTATGCGAAGATTATCTATAAGATATTCTTAAATAAAAAGTTCTTAAACGAATTATAAAAAGCAGACTTTGCAAAAACAAAAGATTAAAAGAACGCTATTTTAAAACACATCGCGCATCACGAGGTCATCAAGCAAAACGTCCGAGAGAGCTTTAAAAAGAAAGAACCGTTCTTTTAAAAAGTCAAGAGTTTGCTATTAAGATCTTTTATAATGCTATACGACTAGAAAGCAGCTAAGCAAAAACTCAAACTATCTTAAAAAGGCTTATTCAAAGTATCAAGCTTAAAAGGTAAGCATAAAAGATTATATACTTTAAAACAGATCAATAAAAAAGCGATACTACGACATTTTTATATAAACTAACTAAAGCCGTTTTACTTGCGAACTTCTTATTTAATAACAAAAAAAGAAGAAAGACTATTAACATACTAGAACTTGAAGGCTAACACTTCGAAACACTCGCTACTATCGGAGCTCAAGAAGAAGAGAAAAGAAAAAGAAAGGTTGATTAAAACGATAACAAAACATTAAAAAAGATAAAAAGATAAAAAGGAAATAGAGTTTAAAGATTTTGATAAGAGTTATTAAAGAATATTGATATTAGCGCAAAAGAAATCAAAAAGCGAGTGAAGAAGAGAACTATAAGAAGTTAAGCAACGATACCTTAGCAGAGTTTAAAATTCTTTTAAAAAGAGTAATAAGCATTAAGCACTTAGTTAAAAAGAAAAGTCCTCGGGTCGAGAACCTCGTAAGATAAGGTCATGTGATAGCCTAAGGCTATCAAGCCTGTTAAAAGCACGTGCACGCTAAAGGAAGTACATAGACTTCTCTCACCAAAGAGAACTTAGAAATATCATCCTTTCCACACAACACGGCCCCCCCCCCACCACTGAAGTGTCACTCAATAGATTTGTTGATTCGTAAACTGAAGCCGAATTCTCGCCCTTTCTTTTTCAAACATTGCAATGCTTGTGGGTTCGAAAAATCAACATAGATCGTGCTTTCAAGTGTAGAGCGGACATAAGGAGAGCTGCCTTATGAGCTCTGGTACGCAGAATCCACCCTTACTAAGCTGTATCGTCTTGAAAATCGGTATTATCGTGGGCTATACATGCCCGCCTGCGAATACTCGACGCCATTTGTAGTAGTCTGCTTATGCATCTCGCACCCCATTCCTTTTTATCAGGCACTGATTGGTTCGTGTAACTTCTGTACCACCGGACAAGCAATGGAAATCCGAATTATCACACGGCTGATAGACGTTTCCGACATGACCAATATCTGGGATGCGCCTCTACGTCGGCCTGTTGTCAAGATCCGTATGACTTTTGCGTGTGTGCGTGTTTGCGTGTTTGCAACCAAGCCGAGATGTCTCCCCAACCATTCAGCAGAGCCTGGTTCGAGGACTTTGCTCGTGAGGTGAGGATCGATTCTACTACTGCCTATACGAATATCTACCTCCAACATTCAGAGCGTCCAGAAATCTGACCAGGCTAGGTAGTTCTTCGCCGCTGTCGACTCCATGGATACGACTCGCGCCATGTCGTTCCTCGTCCAGGAGCCAACCTGTCAATTCGGGAACCAACCCAAGATCTCCGGGAGGGGACAGGTCGAGAAGGTGCGGGGCGGACCATGTTCCCTTCTCTTCCTTATGCAGATCATCAGCTATCTAGCTATGTATGTTTGTGTGTACATGGCTCTGACGTGAGAGAGTCTGTACGCAGCTGCTCTCGGATTTCTACCAGGTCTTGCACGGCATGTCCCACGAGATCAAGACCATCGACACAGGTAAACAAGTACTCTCTATATCCCAGGGGCGGCGCGCAGTGTCGATATCGCGATAGTAGTCGGTAGTTGGTTGACTTTTTTTCTTGGGGAAAGATCTCGAGCACCGCACGATCTACGCTGGAACGGTAGTCTCGTACGTAGTCAAGGGAGATAGAGAGGAAGCGCCGATTTCGATTCCGGTCATGACCCTGTTGAGGTTCGGGACGGCGGGCGGAGGTGAGGAGATGAAAGCGCGGGATCTGAGTGTGTATTTCGATCCGAGCAGCGTGTTTGAGAAGATGAGCGAAGTCCAGTCGAGGGCATGATGGCTAGGGGGGCGCATGAGGCTAGCCTCGCACATACACGCCAAAGAAAAGCTCTGCTCTTCTAACCGTTTATTAGAAGAGATTAAGTACATTCGAAAGATAACTAAACACCCGGATTCGGCTGTGATGAAGAGTGTAGGTAGACATTCACTCCGTTATCACAATCGATCCGGCGAAGAAAATTTAGCAGCATCAGATCGAATATTTCCAATACTTGACTATACACGCCATGAGACATTTCCTTTATATAGAGACATTAGATAGTCGTTGCGGTGCTCTCCATGCCACCCGGGCCAGCTAGGTAGACAGAAACATGACATAAAGGTATCGCTCTCGTAGTGCAGCCTAGGCGATGACAAACCTCGCCGCTTGGGAAATTTATATTGTCGTTGAAGTGCGCTCCACTCCCGTAAGAGCCAGCTACGTAGATAAGAGCGTGGCATGAGAATGTAGCGCCTATAGCGCAGCCTGCTGGACGACAAACTGCGCCGCCGCGGTGGCGTCTTGTTCGTACTTTTTTCTCGATTAGTATCGCGACAGAAAAAGATTACCGAGCAAGACTTACCGTGCTGTGCGCATCTGTTAATATGATGCTCCCTTCGCAGATGTAGTCACCGTCATTACAATAGATAGTGGTCCTGGATTGTGGGATCTGTCCGAATGGTTCACCATTCTTTGGATCGCCGAACGTGATCGCTGCCAACATTAGCCTGAGCATCATCATCATTCGTAAGCATCAACACATACCTGACGAAACCTTTGCCGCGGTTTCGGGCTTTAGTAGTTCCGCGGCGTTGTGTACAAGCTGGGCGCCTTGACTGTTGAAGAGGTGAGCTTACGATTCCGGTTCGCGAAGAGGGTCTGGGAAATCTTACCTCCAGCCGCTCAACGTGACCTTGGTGTCTGGGCACCGGGAGAGAACCTCCTCGACGAGATTCGCCATATATTCTGACCCGTCAGGATCTCCACCCTAGTTGGGGTCAGCTATTGCCAAAAAGAAAGAAAAGGCTCGCGTGTAACGTACTCGGAGAAAGCCAATAACATCAGCATCGTATTCGACCCCTGAAACGCGAAACAAAAAGGGTCAGCATGTGGCTTGAAGGGTGGGTAGTCGGGCATCCTCAGTAACTTACCTTGGACCGCGACGTTTTCTTGTCCGACTAAACGTGCGACTGCTTGGAAGAATGGTGGGCCGGTCTCGGTACCGACGTTGCCCGGTGAAGTAGTACCTTTTGCATGGATGAGTGTGAATTTCTTGCAAGGCACGCCATTGACGAGATCATTCTGAGTATCGAGGGTGAGATCACGAGCCTTGAGGACAGAGGGAAGGGCAAGTGAGGATCTGATCGACAGAGCCAACGGTAGCAGCAGAGCAGGGGGGAGCTTCATTGTATAAAAATAATGGGAAGGTTTTGCGAAAGGAATGAATGAAAGGATTTGGTAAGAATGAATGAGAAATTTCCTAATAACCAGTGGAGCGACTGCCAATAGATGAATACAGATACTGATACTGTGATCACTCGAACAGTGGGGGAAGAGTGCTACATATAGAGTGAGAAGCACCGGAGTCATGGTGCTCTTGAAAGCTGTAGGTTTTGAAAGGTAGTTAGCCGGCCGGGGGGGGGGGGGGAGGGTTATACTTTTGGAAGTTGAAAGAGAATAAATTTAGGGTCTGTATGGATATGAAGTTGGTCACCAAAAATATCTAGGGGCTCGCTTTCGTAGACTTGGCAATTAGCTTGAGACGGTTTAATTTAATATCCATTACAATCAAGGCTTAGATACTTGGTATCGCCGGCCCCGCTCTAATAGGTACTGGTTTATACTACTAAAATGTGGAACATGGATGGACCACGACAAGAGAACCCTAGCAAAAAGGTCTGTCTCCCGAGAATTTGTCCTCGATAAGTACTACTATACAACTATAGTAGTAATTCGCATCGTAGAGCAGAGGGTTGCCAGGCCCAACAGCGTACGTCTCTTAGAATTAAGCGAGAGGTCCGGATCCCGAAAACAAGCTTCTTCTTCATCAGCCTTTTCTTTGTCGTCAGGGGTTTTGCTGTGAGTGTTCCAGACTTCCGGCTGTCGAATACGCTTGTCGAGTATGTCAAATTGGCAATTTGTTGTCAGAGAGGAAAGAAGCAGCCCATGATACCTACCAAATGAGCAGGTGAATCAAGCGCGGGTTTATTGATTACACGGGAAATCGTCTCTCTCTTCTTCGGTGGCTCGAGCAACTCACTGTAAGTCAGACACCATTAACTTTTCTCATCCAAACAGACCCTTGTCTATTTATCGGCTGTGTACGCCGTACTCAAGATAATCTTCCAAAGGCTCATCTATCTGATTCTACAATTACTGTGCGCTGTACTATACTCCCCCCCCCCCCCCACGAATACATGTCGAAAGTATAATCTCGCAAGGGATCTTACCAGATCTTGATCCGATCAACTTACGTAGTACGTAGTATCAGAATTCATTCAGCCATGAAAAGTATCTTTGAGCCAGTATTTAGTCTGTGCAATGGAGTTGACAGGGCTTTAAGCCATTCAGAAATCACCGCTCTACGATTTATGGAGCTAAATTGGGTCCGGCATTTATTCATGGGGGGGATAGTAGTAGCATACTACGTACTACGTATGTGCACACAACATTTGGGTATGGCTCGGATGTGGCTGCATCGCAAGTTCGTAATTGTACTACGTATGAGCTCGGGTGCTTGCTCGGTCCCGGCAAGTCTCGAAAAACTATAATAGTAGTAATTGTAGTTGTAAACTTCCAAAAAAACGCTTCGCCCTGCGCATTTACTACGTACTACGTACGTAGTACCTCTTTCTCAGTCCTACGGAGATTACGACCCAGTCTCTCGCTCCCGTCTGAATTCAATCCCGGCACAAGTCCCACATTTGCTGTCATAGTAGTAAATTCTACTCCATAGATCACTACTCTGCTACTAAGTCTTTCCGTAGGCCCCGAAGACGTCTGGCCAGAGCGAGAAGCTCTCTATCCGTATTCGAAGCTGCGGGTACTCTGCCGATGGGTTGTCAGAAATGAGCACTGGCATCAACCCTTCATATGATGTTTGTATGCGAAAACTATCCTCCGATTGATGACTTGATGGGGCTCTTAATTGGCATCCATGGCTGAGGGCACGATCTTCGTATCGTTATGTTTGAAGTCGAGATGATCAAAACTCCCGGGGATTAAACAAACTAGTAGTTTCTTTGCTGAAGGTTCTTGAACACTTCGCTTTTCTAGAATACGGAGCTTGAATCATGGAAAGCAGGGTTCACCGAAGTTTAGCAGGGGATACGGAGCCAACCAGATAAACACGCTTTGGAGAAAGTTGGAGCGTTACTTAGCCGCGTTACAGTACCTACCGTACCGTACTGTACGTAGAAGCACGCTCCACTGTAATGTCCAGGATAGCCTGCACAGACGATCTCCGTACACGGCTCAGACTTCTAGAAGTACTTAAGTACTACGTACTACGTACGGGATGAATTGATAAACTTTCTGGAGGCACTTTTGGATTTAAACTACCGTATCGACCATACACACCCATCTGCCTTGAACTTCTATCAAAATACAAGAAAAATATACCGTTACAACCCGGAATAATTGCCCCCGGCTCTAACCTTGCTCGCAAGATCGTCCTGAACTTTATATCTAACCTCAACTAACCTGCGTTAAACGTTTGCGATGCAATTCTGCGTGTACTTCTTTGAAGCCAAGACCTCGCCCCAAGTGCTTTGCCGTGGTGCGAGCTTTCTTTGTACCACCTTGGCTATGTATATCCTTCACTTCTGTAATAAGCCGTCGTTTATGGACTCCGTACTCTGATGAGGTTTCGTTTCCGCAGAATGACTCTCCAAGAGTTTCACTTCGAATACGTTCTGTACCGTACGGTAGCGAAAAAGATACTTTCGCTTTCCGGACAGAGCAGCTGATCCGAACGTACTCCAGCGTGGTGGTCTTTTATTATTCACCGCACGCGCGATCCGAACGTACTCTGCTTTCTCCGCACAGTATCTCTCCAAGTCGATCAAAGGTAATCGTACCCCTGGTCAGAGCACAAGTTAGAGGCAAGGGCTGCGGTTTCTAGAACCCTTCGGCGATGCGGTCAATTTTCAGCGATACAACTTTTTGACCTTTTTTACAGCAACATACCGGTATCCTCCCCCGCCCCCGCCCCCCACTAAATAGATTTAATACTGGATCTTGTGTAGACCGATTCCAGGGGGTATAGCAGGAGGTATAGCAACAGGTAATAGTAGAGTATACAAGGGCTTTAAGCCAATTGGGATAACGAAAATATCAATCGATTAAGATTCTATCTAGCATGGAGTTGGCCTTCCTTGAGCATCGAATACAGCTTGACAACGCTTCTACTACGATTCGTATAAACATTCGATATAGCTAATAGGAATAGCGTCCTAAGCCTTCGATATTATTCATTGTAGTTTCTTAAAAGAGACCAATTCAGCGTTATAAACAGATAGAAAATATCTCTTCTGAATAGAATAGTTTCTTTCGAGCGTATACCTCGTTCGATTTTTCGGTGTTAAAAAAGCAAAAGTCCTAGAAAAGCTTATTTATAAAGCGGTGAATTCAATAATTTAATTGATATCTATTGTAGCTATCAATAGATTGAAAACGGGTCGAATATACAAGGATCTTAAGCAAAAAAAAAAAAGATCCACGCAAGACGAAAGATAAGTAAAGTTCGTAGTAAGTGGCCTTTATTTCAATTGGCTTAAAACCCTTGTATACTCTACTACTGTATTACCGCTTGCTATGCCCCCTGCTATGCCCCCTGGTATCGGCCTACAAAAGACCCAGTGTTACGTTTATTTAAGGGGGGGAGAGTATATCTAACGAACCTTTAAATAGAAATACTGATAGTAAAATATATTGTTGTTCTTCAATATTATACCTTAGAAGAGAATTAGGAATCAACAGAGTTTTGTAACGTAGTTATATTCGTATTCTGACTTCGTCGGCGCCCTTCCCAAAAAATTCCATTTTGTAAATAGGTAGATAATTCAGCAACCACAAATAATTACATGTCGTGCGGTAAATAGGGTTATAATATTAGCAACCTGCAATGTGCATTGCAGATCTACTTTTGCACAACAGTTAAGAGCCATATTCGCTTCGATACCGGTAGCTCAATTAGTCGATCGATAGCTAGCTATCATTAGTAAATTTTGTGTATGCAGCTCAAAGTTTTCTTAATCGGAAACCGATGCTACCCCGCTATAATCAGCTGCGAGGGTGCATCTCGATTTGGTAACTACTGGATTAGTTAGCAAAAATAGTTATAATATGCTTAGTCAAGTAGCGATAAAAGTTATCGCTAATAAAAAATCCAAACACTTTAAAGATAGCAACAAAACCCTTACTATTAAGTCAAACATTGCAGTGCCTTAGTAACTGCTACGTGGTAATATATAGCAGTCGGTACAGCGGCTCAGCCAGCCTGCTCTGGGGGGTGTGTCGTGCGGTAAATAGCATTCTAATCTTGGAAAACTGCCAGGTGTATTGCAGGTCTGCTTTTGCACAACGTTACATGTAATTTTCTAGAAACTCATAATCGACAGTTTCAACTATGTTTATTTTCATTTTTCTAGTAGCTTAAAAAAAAGGAGGGAGATTAATTTTTATAAATTTAAAATGGTTGCTATTGTTTACTTAAGGTTTTTGAGACGCATGAATCGCCGAATAGCCGCCGAAAGGCCTTTGATCTTTCTTTACATTATCATTTAATATATCACAACTCGCATTGACCTTGGAATGACTAGTGGACATTAGAAAGAAAATATACTTACGCAACCTCATGTATTTTATACATGATAATGGTTTGTTTAAGCCTCTTTTTATAATCTATAATTTTTCGGCCTTTGAATCTCGCATTAAATTAGCGAAGAAAGGCGACGAATTTGGCACCAGTTATAATTGGTTTGATATTAGGATTAGATATTCGGAAAACGATAGCTTTAGCGATATCATCTTCCGTATCGATATTAAATTTCATTGTAGTGTTGTTGATTAATCGCCTATGGAAGAAAAATCACGAAAAAAATTGATCGTATCGCTTGAAATTGACCGTACCGCTGAAGAGTACTAGGAGCCGCAACCCTTGCCTCCGACATGTACTCCAAACAAGGGTACGATTATGGCTCAGTGTAACACACAATATGTCTAGATGCTCATACTTAACTTATATCAATGATACCGCTGGCTCCTTACAAGAGCCGCAAGCCGACCCTCATGATTTCTCTCCATTGAAGTGTCGTCCCTCGGCTGCCCCGCAATCTTGGCTACGAAGAGGAACCGCGGCTGATGGCAGAGTATAATTGAATTTCACCTGTATGTGTCTAGAAGTTCATTCCGTATACACGTTTCGTGATCTTCAAAAGAACAATATTGATCTCCTTGCATCTTCCTTCCTCAGCCCTCAAATATGACCAGGTACAACGACATTATTCTTGAGATCGAGGGTCAGATTGGCATAATCAAAGTACACCTATGTTTCGTCGGGCATCTACTCTGGCTAATGGCGCTTGTAGCTCAATCGCCCGAAAAGCCTGAACGCGTTCGGTGGCGAGCTCCAGGAGGAAGTCGTCTGCGCAATTAGAGAGCTGAACGAGCATCCCGACACCGTGTTTACAGTGCTCACTGGAGAAGGCAGGTTCTTCTCAGCTGGTGCTGACGTCCGATGTAAGCCTTCTTTGCCTCCATCCACACCTATGCACTCTTGTCAGAAAGAACAGCGACTGATATCGCGATTAGCCACGGGTCTAGAGTCCGAGAACGTCTACGAAAATGATGGGCAAAAGAAACTTGCCTTTGTCACAAGGTTCGCTCCAGGCACGTTTTCTCGGTCCCATGCCGAGCTTTCTGGACTGACTTCGGTGATCAGCAATCGAAATGCTTCGGTCCATCATTGACCACAAGAAGGTTTTTGTCTTGGCTCTCAACGGGCCGGCAGTAGGAGGTGGGTCGGCCTGGTTCACTGGATCCTCCGATCTCGTGTTCGCCTCTTCATCTTGCTACTTGCAATGCAACTTCAGTGCGCTGGGTCTGGTGCCCGAGAACGGCTCCGCAATCAACTTTGCGCAAAGTATGGGGGTCCATCGCGCCAACGAGTTCTTCATGCTGGGTCGCAAACTCACTGCCCAGGAACTCGAGCAGTGGGGTATCGTCAACCGGGTATTTGACAACGAGGGCTTCGTCGATAGTGTCAAAGCCTATCTGCAAGAGCAGTTGAAGAACAATGACGGGAAGAGCATGATGGAGATGAAGAGGCTCCAAAATGCGCCGTTGAGGGATGGGAGGATGGTCGCAGTTCTCAATGCCGTTGATGCGCTTGCTGAGAGGTTTGTCGAGAACGCACCGATGGAAAGGTTTGCGATCAAGAAAAAAGAGCTGGAAGGTAGGTCTCCTGTGCCTCCAGATTGTTGCCGGCGTGCGAGGATGCTAATCCTGCGCAGCAAAATCAAAGGGGAGGACTTCCAAAATCTGATACAGCTGTGAGACTTGAGTGCTGTGCTGTGTACGCGGGAGAATGGTTGGAGGCGAGAAGTAGATTTCTTCCTTCTATTTTCTAAGAGACTACCCATCTGTTGATGAACGATTTAAAGAGCCCAATAGTTACGCTTTCAACCCAGGGCTGAATACACCGAATCCCAGAGACCCCGTCTTCCTGCTCATCCAAGCCCACCCCTCTTTCCTTTCGCACCTACTCTCTCTCGCCGTATATATTGGCCGAGTGCTCCTGCTCCTGCTCCTCTCTTGACGACAAAAAGGGAAGGGACGCCTCACCTCATCATCGCACCATAGGTATCTCCAGAGACTAGCACCAAATGACGAGCAGATCTCTATTGGTGCCAACTATATGGGAAGCTTCCACGAAGTGAAGGTTTTGCTCGCCGTCTTCATCGCGGGAGCATATTAGTTATGGCAAAGACAAGGCGCAGACGATAGTGGACGCCACGATGATGAAATCTCAACTCTCATATTTTCACTTCCAAGTCATCGATACACGGTATGGTATATAGGTCAATGGTATTAAGTTATGTATTAAGTGCATTGCGCTACGCTAGAATGACCGACCCATCTCTGTCTCGCCAAAGCCCAGACCGTGAAAATTGCTTCCGGATCCATTCTCGAGGCAGCAGCACCCGGTCTAGGAGTCTGTCTCACTACCTACCGACGAACTCAGTATCACAAACACGAAAGAAACAATCAGAGCGCCTTTCTCCCCAGACCAGATCCAAGTGTTTCTCCTTTCCACTTTGCATCGATGTCAAACCTAGGTACGTACCCACGCTTCACTCGCTCTGCCTCCCCAACTAGCGAAAGCAGCAAAAGGCGCCATCCATCAGGTGCGGTCGCCATCTCAGACACCGCCGACACCGCGTCAGGCTGGAGTAGGAGTGGCGCGTGAGCTCATCGCACTCTTCTGGCCAGCCGTTGATGGCGCGGCAGTGGTTGCACTTGCGCGTTCTCGTCTCTCCGTGACCGCACCGGAACCAGGTGGTCGTTTTGCGGCACATGCTGCTGCTTTGTAGTTGGTTTGTTGGCTTGGCTGTTGGAAGGATGTGCTGGTGGATTGTGGAAATCGACGCGAAATCAGGGGAAGAAGGGGCATAGACATAGACATATTTTTCTACCTGTACCATTAGAAGAAGCCTGTTTAGCCAGTCGAGTACCCCGGCCGGCTGTTGTTCTCGAGGTGAGAGGTGAGAGAACAGAGGTGAATGAATGGCATTGTTTTTTTTTTTTTCCTTTCTTCTTTTTTTTTTTGCAAGACAAGAAGAGAAGCGCATTGTTTGAAAAGTCTTTGTTCCAGGAGGCTCCTGCTCGCTTCGCATTCCCTTCGAGGCGACAGCAAAACCAAACCCAAACCCGAAAAAAAGGGAGGGAGGGAAAAAATGTAGAAAAAAAAAAGTGAAAATCTTTTGCAAAAAATGCCAAAACTTTGGTAGAGCCCTTGCGTTTGTGCGATGCAAGAGGGCTACCTAGAAAACCACCGACTCGAGGGAAGGAGTTTTTTCGAGCCACTTTCCTCAGCGGGAGAGCGGCTCAAGCTAACGTCTGCTGGGCATTACCCAGCTACACCAAGCGAGCAAAGCTTTTTTGGTGCGGCGAAGAGCGAACCGGAATATTCATATATGTAGTCGAAAATATTTTTTCAGAGGGGGCGTGACTAGCTGGGTCGGGGGAAGAAAAAGACGTCAGAGAATGGAGCGGTCGTCGGAACTACCTAGTCTAATTTTTCTTTGGGGAACGACCGAGTTCTGTATTGTCCGGACAACGAGTACGTACTACGAGCGCTACTACAGCACAGGCATGTGTGTCCGTTTGCTCTAGATTTACGTTGATCTTTTGCCGGGGTATCTTTTTCGTCCTTGTAGTCATTTCTTGGTTCACTACGATCCCATTCAGGAACTCTGCTCACCACGGTCTCAGTACCTTTAGCATAAACCTACGTTCCATTCGCTGGACGCATACTCTTTATCATTCAAGTGCCTAAATACGAACCCAAATACGACCCCGGACATGAAGCCAATAATTAACAGACTAGCAAAAGCCCACCTGATAACAGGGACCGAAGACAAAACCACAGCATGCTGAATGGCAGACATGCAGTTATCAATCAACACAAGGTCTAGCATGCTATTTAGGACTCGAGCGTAGACAATTGCGGAGGCGGTGACATCGGTGAGAATTCTGCAGAGGGCGGTATTACTTATGGTGGTTTGTGTATACGATGGAGAGACCTGAGTAGATGGCCCGGTTTGTGTAGGATTAAGCCAGCGTGAAGCCATCACATGCGATGAGGCAAGAGGAAGTAAACGATACACGGGAGCAGATATTATGCCGAGAAACCGATCAACCTTGTGATGCAAGTACAAGACAGGGACTCTCCATCGAAACCTCCGATATTGAGGAGTAAAGAGAGGCAGAGTGTCGTGCATTCGGCTCTGCCTGGATGAGAGTATATGTGGTGGGTTTGCGGCGACTCGAATTAGCGACGTGATTTTTTTTGGCATTAGACAAAGCCCAGGATGTTTAGGCAGTTCTTGACTTGGGCTGGTGAGACCAACTACCAACAACTAGAGCCAACTTGATTTCAGAGATTTTATGGTCTTGGTAAAGCATGTCAAGGTGGCGGAAGAGGCACAGCATACTCGTAGGCCAGGCGGGGTCCCTGATTCAAGCAGGAACGCAAAACTTGCGGCTTTTTGATAGTAGCCCTTCGTTTCAGCGTACAAACACTATCACTGCTGTATGGAATTGAGTCTTGCTCAAGATCAAACAATGGCAGCGGGGAAATAGAAGTACCGATAGATCCCAGGCCGACACACCTACCTTTGTTTTTAGGGAAGCGAGCGTCAAGGCCGTAGAGTAGAAGAGCCCTCCGATGCGCAGAACAAGTAACGAGTAATTCATATTGGAAAAATTTCAATGAATAATGAGCGCCGAGGGAATGTCTTTCGCAAAAGCAGGCTCTGAAAATCTGGACACTTTTGAAACAGGTACTGGCTTCTAGAAATTCATCTTCCCCCGAATTAGACAAGCATTGATTTCCTCGCTGGAATTTCCGATGAAGGATCGTCAAGCATCAGCTATCCAGCCCGTCGATGAAGACCCGATTAAGTAGGAAAATCAGTGTCTGGCACACCACCCAACCTAATCGTAGACGGGTCAACAATAAAACGGCTGAAATAATAAACGAGACTGCTCAAAATCAAGAAACCAAACAGGAGCATAGCGGAGGAAAGCCAAAGGAGTTCAAGAATGTCTAAAGAATTGATGTCTAAATAAACCTCCACCCCCTCCAAAAATAAATCTTGGCACCAATTCCCGTCTAAAGTCTCCTCCAACAAACGCGTCTCACCGAGCCTCAACCCCGCGACAGCCCCCATCTCCAAATAAATAAATAAAAAAAGGAACGAAAAAAAAATAGTCCACCAGCACCAACCGGCCACCAGGCGCCTCCTCCACCAGCGCACAGCAGCCCTCCAAGACTCTCTTTGAGCAGCAGCGCGAAATTCTCCTGCAGGAAATTGGCGTGGTGCGTTTCCATTTCCCCCTCCCCATCTTCCCTTATCCCTTATCTCCCCTCCATCAGAGTATTTATCCTACCCGTTGAAAAATTGGGGGACGCGACGTGTTATTAACGAAAAAAAAAAACCCCTAACCTCTTTTTTCTTGCGATGGTAGAGTTTCGAACATGTACTGGCGAACATCAACAAGTTGAATCGCTCGCTGGAGGGGGTCATTGCTGTGAGTTTCTGTGATCAGATATCCGAGTGGTGCGGGGGAAGGGGGTGGAAGGAGAGCTGATAGTGAGTGCGTGTGTGTAGGTAGGCAATGAGTTCGGCTCCGTCGAGGCGCTGTGGTCGCAGTTTGAGAATGTGATGGCGAAAGATCCTGACGCCGAGCCGGAAGGACAGGATGGGGTTGAGAGAGAGGAGGGAATTGGAGATGGAGAGGATGAGACGGCGACGAGTGAAGGGAGGGGGGACGGTAAATGATGTATATGGGATTCGGGGATGGGAGGGCGTTTGCAGATTACTGTCTATACCCAGCACCGGCACAGCACACAGCGAGGTAAATGGTGGTGGTATGGGAGCATGTTTGACTGATTCTTATTTCTACAAAGGAAAAGTTCATGATACATAAGAAACCGATAACCCCAGTCTCTTTGTGCATTGTCCGGCACAGACAGATCCCCATCACCAAAGAAGGCGCAGCCACGAAAACTTGCTAGAAGAAAACTCAATGTTCTGAGAAGAAGAATGGCAGCAATGCTCTCCGGCCAGGAACCATCTGTTCTTCGCAGATCCTCTCAGCCCAATCCTTGCATTGCTTCGCCTCATGTTGTGCTGTCAGTCATAGTCGTATTAAAAATCGTATCAAAATCGTTGCGAAGGTGCCTAGAGGAATCGGCAGTTCCGCTTCTTCTTCCTCATGCCGCCCATCTGTTGGCTGAACCTTCCTCCTCCTCCACCACCACCGTAACCCGTCTGCGATTGAATTTGGTTGCTCTTGTCGTTGGCGACCACCGTATTAATGGCCTCTGCGAAGATCTCCTCCACTCCGGTCATCTCCTTACTACTGCACTCCATATACTGCGCGCCCATCTTGCGGGCTACGTTGATTCCTTGTTCATGGGTGACGGGAGTCAGTCCTTGGGTCTTGAGGAGGTCGATACAGGTGCGCTTTGATCGGAGATCTGATTTGAGGCCGACGAGGACGAGGGGAGTGTAGGGGCAGAAATGCAGGACCTCAGGGTACCACTAAGATGTGTAAATATCAAATGTTCGCCGGCGGGGAATGTGTCTTACCTTGTCCATGACATTGTCCAAGGAGTTCGGGCAGTCAATGGCGAAGCAGACAAATAGTAAATCGGTTTCAGGGTATGAGAGAGGGCGGAGACGATCGTACTCTTCTTGTCCGGCGGTATCCCACAGCGCGAGTTCGAGAGTCTTGCCGCTGGCTTGATGGGTTGGGTATGTGATGTAGTTCTCGAAGACCGTTGGTACGTATTTCTGTACCGATCAGCCCTGCTCTTGATGTTTTAAGAAACTGCACCTACCTCTGGGAAGTAGCCCTGGCTGTAACTGATCAGAAGACATGTCTTTCCGCACCCACCATCTCCCACAACAACAATCTTCTTCGAGTATGATGGGCCCTCAGTGACATGAGTGGCCGCCGACTCTCTGCCTGTAGAATTGCTCATCATTGTGCTGACGGTTCCCTCGCTGGATCTGGCGCTTTGGTCATGTCGTGAGGCCTTCCTTCTCGGGGCGTCGTGCTGCTCTGACATGTCGGATAGGCGATTGTTGTGGTGACCTTGCTGGTACTGCGACGACATGCTGACTTGGATTCGAGGCTCGGTAACGATCCAGCGATAGCGGAACGTGTGAGGTGCGTGGTGTATGTTGAGGTATGCGGCACTGATTCTAGTAATGCCCGATAGTATGCAGTTCGTAAGGTGAGGTGTCTCGTCTTTGGAATGGAATCTGGGTATCGGTTTCTACTTTCGAGATTTGAGATTTGAGATCAGATTCAAGAAGTAGCGTAAACAGCATTTTGGCCCGGCAACCGGACTTGAGAAAGTATGCCTCAGATTCCAGACCACAAAAGACGCGGGCGACGGAGCTAACTTCTTCCGCTCCGTGGAACTCAGATCGGCCGAGGTGACCTTGCAAAGCTTATCGAGTTCCGAGTCGACGTCCGAATATACATAGAGAGAGAAACCGCCAACGCAGACACCCATATCACGCTCCTTTATACCTAACCTAACCTGATCCAATTCAACCCATTGGGCCCCCCACTCCTCGCCTACAGACCTTCCCGGGGCCGACTTCGCGAAGATATACCCACTCCATACCCAAATCTACATGCATCACCGACCATGTCCTCGACTCCGAACCGCTCCAGCGGTCTAGAGCTCGATAACTTCCCAAATTCTCTACCATCTATCGCAGTGGTTGCGCCAGGAGACGCGGTCGATGCCGGTTTACGAAGTCTAGATCATTGTATGTGCGCGGGAGCTTCAGTTGTTATGCGCTTATTGCCTTCTGTGGGAGATATCGTCGTCCTAGTCAGGCCATAGAGGTCCAGAAACGGCTTATGTATTGGTGTCGCATTTGCCCAAATCTTCTTTCTTCTACCTTCTTCTGAAGTCCACTTGTGCCTTTCTTCTTCTCTTCAGTGGCAGATGAACATATACAAAGTCACCTCGCTTACTCTTCGCAGACAAGCGCAGGCTTCCACCATGGCGGTACAACTTGCGAAAGAGCATACTGCCCTACATCCGCTGGGAGACGCCGTACCTGGCGTGGATGCAAGATAAGATGCGGTCCCCAGCCCTCGACACGTACTTTGCTATTACCGCAAACCTGGGCACGCATACATGTTTTATGGTGTTCCTCCCTATCCTATTCTGGTGTGGACATACGTCAGTGGGAAGAGGGCAAGGCTACCTCCAAACCAGTTGAACGGTACAACTGACGAACATAGGATGGTTCATATTCTTGCATCTGGGGTGTTCTTCACCGGATTCCTCAAAGACATGCTCTCGCTACCACGTCCATTGTCCCCGCCTCTTCACCGGATCACCATGTCTGGATCTGCTGCGTTGGAGTACGGCTTCCCATCTACTCATTCCGCAAATGCTGTTTCTGTGGCTGTCTACTGCCTCTTCACCATATACTCGCCCGACAGTCAGCTAAGCCCTTCGACGAAGGTCATAGTGGAGGTACTCAGCTATACCTATGCGATCTCGATTGTCTTGGGCCGGCTATACTGTGGCATGCATGGGTTTATCGATGTGATCGTGGGTAGTATCATGGGAGCTGGAATTTCCGCCGTGGAGTGTCTATACGGTGCCAGAATCGACAAATTTCTGCATAGTAGCTCCTGGGTAGCACCAGCAATAGTCGCTCTTGCAATCATCTGCCTCATCCGAATCCATCCCGAGCCAGCTGACGACTGTCCATGCTTCGACGATAGCGTCTCTTTTGCGGGTGTCATGGTAGGGATTGAATACGGCGGGTGGCACTACGCAACCGGAGACTGGGCATGGAATGTTCCGGTCCCAGCAACGGTGCCATTCAGCCTTGAACATATGGGATGGTTTACCGTGGTCGTCCGACTGTTGGTCGGGATCCTGGTCATTTTCGCATGGAAGGAATTGATGAAACCTACACTCCTCAAGTTTCTCCCCTATCTCTTCCGCATCATTGAGAAGTACGGATTCATCCTTCCTCGCAAGTTCTTTATGCCTGCATCCGAATACGGCAAGATCCCCTCTCGCCTGAAGGTCGACAATGTCATGCCGTCCGTATCCGATCTTTCTGGTCTTCTCACCTCGATTCGTCATCCCGGACGAGGCCGTGCTGTCTCTGTTGGTCCCCAATCGGCTGCCGATGCCTACGAGACTTTGGCGTACCGCGAAAAGAGACGGAGAGACAGCTTAACCCATACCAGCGAGGCCGCGTCGGCAACCCAAACGCCCCGCTCTCCTCCTCCGCAGACGAACCTCACAAATGACTATTTTGGACGAGCTGCTCATGTTGATCGGGACGGCGCCGTCTCTCACGTCTCTGGGAATGCATCTTCACTTGGTATCAATTCTCCGGGCAATTTGCCGACGCCCGCTCAGTCCCGAGTCGGCTCATACGAGCAGATGATGGGACAAGGCCAAGTCTTGCTCACCCCCGCAACGCCACCTGTAGCAGAGGAGAAGCCAGATGACGATGATGCCAACATCTCTGTTGGGCCGCATACCGAGCTGGAAGAGAAGGAGATGTTTTCACGACTCGAAATGCCTCGTGTGAGGTACGACGTTGAGGTTGTTACGAAATTGGTGGTTTACGCGGGTAAAGCTTCTCTCTATCCCCACCGCCCTCAAATACCAGACTAATTTGATCAGGCATTGGATGGTTGGCCGTCGAAGCCAACCCTATTATTTTCGAGATTATCGGGCTGGGAATGGGCGACATCCGTCCGTTCCAATAGATTTGCTGAGGTTTTTTGGGTGGGTGTTCAAGGGCTCAGGCCTAGTTCACTATTCTTTGTTGCATACACCCCGGCGTTGGGTTTTCACGAGCTGCACGGCATTCTGGATATGACTGCATGGCGTTCTGGTCCGAGGGGTCATGACGGTGTCTATATTTAGGGCGGCATTTGTACAGAGGCTGCTGCATTCAGATTGACGACATTGGAGGCAATGGACATTCTTGCTTTCTTTCTTCCCTTCATAATACCACGGTACAGGCCTAAGTATTACCCCTCGAGGGTACGTTCTCGCTGTTTTAATAAGCTTTTATTTTACCAGGCTGTATACCACCCGTCCGCCGCGATTACGTCTAAAGAACGCTATCTTATAGTTCTAATTAAAGCAACAAATTTATCTTTATCGATCGAGTGTTACGCTTCTTGAATAGCTATTCTTAATCGAAGATAGCTTTAATAAGCATTAAGATATCTTTCTTGAATATAATCTTGTTGGATTGCTTCCAAGCGATTGGGAATATATTCGTAACTTCGTAAGGTCGTTAAAGTACTTGCAATTGCAAAACACTCGGTTGATAAGGTATTTGAATTCTGTCTGCTCCCTCATGCTCAAGGGAGCTGATTCCTTCTATATGATTAGAAGGAATCACGTGCACTAGCTAGCTAATAGGTCTACTTGTCAAGTTAAGGGTCCCTTGACTATTAGCATGCTAAGCGAAGCATGCCAAGTGGCCCGTGAACCATGGTTTACGGGTGAGCTTCCTCAACTACTACTACTACTACTACTAGCTAGCTAAAGTCGATATAGATATACCGACACCGGCAACTTTCTCTTTAGCAAGCAATGCTTTGCCAACTATTATATCGACTGAAAAATAAAGGTAATCAAACAAAAGAAAAAAAAACAACCTTATCCCTCCCTCTCTTACAACGGCCTTTCTACCTATCCGTCCACTTGCACCTTCAAGTTATTAGTCAAAACTAGCTCTTGCAAAGAAGTATTAGCCCCGATTTTGATTATAGCGTCAGCAGAGTTAAATTTTCCTCCGATCCAGCGTACCTTAAAGAGCTCTCGCCTTTCGTATGACTCTCGAATAGCTATAATATCGATCATAAAGCGCTTCTCTTTAATAGTTCCTAGCTTTACTATATACTCGTAAAGCGAGTAAAAGTCAGTATACACAACTACGAGGAAATTAAAGATCTTTAGCTAAGCTGTGATTTAAGCAAAGGTAATCGATATAGCAATAGCTATATCGATACTTAAAGACATAGCGTATAGCTTAAAGGCTAATACTGCTTTTATCACCTTCTTGCACTTTTATAACACTTAATAAAAGATATTACTTATCAAAGTGAACTCGTTTTCACTTACGTAAGCCTTATTGCTAAAAATAACTACGAAATCGATTTAAAAGCTAAGGTTAGCGTTATTAGCAAACGCTCCGTCCACGAATACAAAAAGCTTCGCCGTTTTCAAGTCTAAAAGTACGTAGTAGATCCTTCGAGTTAAGTGATCAATCAGCTATTAGATCACTTTATTAAAGGCCTTATAATCTTCGTCCTTCGGTTCTTAATGCTAAGCAGCTATCGATAAAGCATACGATGCCTTTAAGTAGCAAATAATAGCTAAATACGCTCTTCGAGCACGTTGCTTTAAGTACTCTTTAGCCCGTATAGCTAAATCGAGCTTGATCACGGCAAGCCTCTTACCTTGCTCTTTTTAACTAATTGACACTTCGAACCCGTCTTTATCTAAGGATAGCTTGCATCTATTAAAAATCATCGGCTCGGCGTATATAAAAGTCTTTATTTCCTTGCTTCTTAGCTTAAATTTAACCAGCTCCTTTTCTTCTTTTGCCCTTATAGCTAGATTGACAACTATAAGAATATCATCCGTCTATAAGGCAGCTATTCTTAGCTAATCCTTATTAATTAATATAAAAAAGCAAAAATTAAAGCTCGATTGCTTTATCTCGAAGTTGTTTATAAAATGCTTTAAAAAACGCTTATACTAATGCGTTCTTGCTTTAAAGATGCCGTATAAAAGGCTAGTCATAAAAAACAAAATGCTAAAGAGGAATCGATAAGTGATCTTCTTAAGTAGTCGCACGACGATTATTCGTATAAGCTTCGTGCTTAACTAAATATAAGCTTAAGTAATATCTCTGCTATAAACCTAACACTCGTAGTCTTTTATCAGCGAAAAAGCTAAAGCATAACAAAGTCTTTAGCCCGCTCGCTATACCGTAAAGGACTCGATAAGTACCCTCGTTTTGCCTTTATCTTAAAAGGCTTAGACCACTATACGAGACTTCTCGTATAGCGTAAGTATTTCTTTGCTTTTGATCTTATTAACAAACCTAAATCCGAAGATCTTAGCGCTTTTAGCGCGTAAGTCGGTGCCCGAGATTACTTAAAAAATGCTTTAAGCTATTAATCCAACTAATTCCTTTGCTCTAGACTCTTAAAATAGTACCTTAAAGCTCTTAATGATTCCTTCGGCTCGTAGCTTAGCTAAAAGCTCATAATCCCGGCGTTTCTTATCGGTAATCAACACTTCGGAGTTTTTAGTAAATAAAACGTAAAAATCGCCCTTCTCTTCGTCGAGCACGGTCGAGATACTAAAATCGTACTTCTAATAAAGTATCTAGACTATTAGTATTATTGACTTCTAGAGATTAACAAGTTAAAGGTTAAGAGAGCTATTTGCTAATTTAAGCGACCTCGGTGGATTAAGCGAATGTTAAGGTTTAAGCGAATTTCGCGGTTCTAGCTCTTTTTCGCTTTCGCTTTAATCTTCTTTTACTTTTACTTTAAGTACTTGCAACTCTTTTAGCAGCTTTTCAACTTCAAAGTAATAAAGTTTTACTAAGGTTAACTTGAATTCCGTAAGTCTCGGACATGCTATTATGCACGTATGCCTTTGCTTGCTATGTGACAGCCTGCCTTGTTACCTGCAGTCAGCTGATCACCCATTCAGGCCTAGCGCCTGTGGCCATGTATATAGACCTTCCTGAGCTCCCCGAGCTTCCTGTTTCCTCTCCTCACTTTGTATTCTAAGGTCAGAATTCATCAGTTCGTCACATTATACAAAGTCCTTCGATTAGGTCGTCGTATTACAGCTTATTGTTATTGCTTATTGTTA